GCCCCGCCCAGTCCCGTAGGCGGCGGGGGCGCTGGCGCTGCGGCGGCGGATCTGGCTGCGGGTTGCGTCTGCCCCGCGTTTGGCTCTGGAACCCGGCGGGGGGCTGGGGCCCGCTGCCTGCTGCCTCCTGCCGGACGAAGCGGAATTAACAAGCATTCCCAGGGAGTGGGTCTGGGTGTTGCAGGACTCCCAGGAGGAGAAAGATTTTTGACCCTGAAGTTCACTCATCGTTCCAGGGACGTCTGTGTCTGCAGCAACCCAGGTCTTTCACATCCTCTCCAGCAGACTGTTTCCGTTTTCAGTGGAGGGAGCAAAAGTGTCCTTGGGGTGCAGAGGTTAGAGCCCACGTTTATCAGGTTTCAGAGCCCAAGCACCCTTTATTACCCACTATCTACAGGGTCATCTGGATGCGGCAGGGCAGGCAGGATCCCAGTTTCATAATCCACGCCCAGGAAGAGCTGGGAAAGGTTTAGAGTGCCAGAACTGGAAGGCACTTTAAATCTGTCTCCTCTCTGGATAACCCATTTCCAGACAGAGCCTTAACTTGACTTTGGAATTACACCTTCTCATCTCACTCCAGTATTGCTTTCTAACAACTTCTCATCTCACTCCAGTGTTCCTGTCTAGGCCACTTCCTTACGTAACAGCCCTTCAGATATATGTCGAAGGCTATCATCTAGGAGTTATCAAGCAGTTCTAGGGGTGCTGTGGGACTGGGAATAATAGCAGAATTTCTTTTTCTAAAAAAAAAAAAAGCTAAACATATACATTGAATTTTGCGAAATTTGCTGGATCTATTCCATGTGCTTAAAAGTGCTTCTCAGAAGTAATGTGACCAACTGATGAAAAATCTGTTAGTCCTAAGGAGTTTAGACTCCTGAAGGTTCTCAGGAGTGCTGGTGGCAGGCACCGTAATGTGAAATGGAGGAAGTGGTGTCCTGATGGGTGGCTCTCAGTTCTCCCAGAGCTCCTTTCCCTCCTCCCTTTTCCCTCCCCCCCCCTCCCTTCAGTCTCCCAGGACACTCTCCCTATTCAGAATAAAACTAAAACCCTCTTGGAATGCATCATTATCTTTAACTGATGTGAACTCTGGTAAATAACTTCCCCCTGAACCTCAGTGACTGGATTTAAGATGATGCTCATACTACATGCTCTCTGAGATGGCTTCCAGCCCTGTTGCAAAGATACTCAGAGGTAGAAACAACCTTATGATTTTCCTACTCATGACATTTTCACCTATACATATTATAGAAATGCAATACTCTTGGTCATGTGGAAATAGGAAGGTCCTTAGGCAAAGGGGCCATCGTCGTTCTCAACTCACATGCCACCAGCTGTCACCTACTCCAGCTAATGGTAAGGTTAGAGCAGGAGGCAGGTGTACAGCAAAGGCTACTGACTTCCACCTATTTGTAAAGCTTTCTATTCATGATACACAGCAGAGACACTAACTTCAAATGTGCCACTACCCCTTTGGCAGTCTGGAGAAGCACACAAGATAAAATACATAGGATTGCCAAGGAAGCCAATTGTATTGAAATACTGTTATCAAATTATGAAACGTTTAATCTGTGATATAATAAATGTGCTTCTTTATTAAATTACAAGATCTAAGAGTGGGTTTAATAATTACCATAAATTCCAAGTAGTGCACTGTAAACAATAGTTGGAGGTACCTGTAATGTGAATATCTGCGATTCCTAGTGATGACAGAGTCACAGGTACAAATA